TCCTCCTATTGGTTCTAATTCTTCCTTACAACATGACTAATGTGAAAATGTTTAATAGGAATGTGTATGTAAAGCCTATATCAAATTGCATGCCATCTAGAGGAGGGAGGTAGGGAAAGAGGGGGAGAAAAATTTAAAACTCAAGAGTTTATGGAAATGGTTGTTGATAAATCAAAATAAATTAATAAAAATATTAAAAAAAGAATGAAGGATGAACCACAACTCCTTCTGCCTAACTTCAAGCTACTCACACTGCATAGTCTCTATTGGGAAGGAAGAAAACAAATTAGCCAGATTCATGGTTCCCTCCAGCTGAAAAGATACTAATTGTATTGATCTTTCCAAAGTTATCTCCTTGAGTAAATACTTAGTCATTTTCAGATTATCTGGACTTCTTCAATCACAGCAGCCTTCTCACTCTGGAAGATCCCTTCACCACTGTGGTCTTATCTTCTGATTGGACAGTTTCTCTCAAAACCTCCATTTTGAGGAAGTGCTCAAGTCAACTCCATGTTCACTCTTTCATTCCTTGGTTGGCTCTGCTCTTGACTCCATCGACTTGTCCCTCTTTCTGGACTCTATTTTTCCTTCTGCCTCTCCCTCCACCCTTTATCCCCTCTCTGTATTTTAGCTTTCTTTTATGTCATGTCTTTTCCCAATCAAATATTAGCTTCTTGAGGTCATGGACCATCATATATATGTTTGTGCATGTATATACACATGTATTTTATATATATATGTGTGTGTGTGTGTGTATGTACACACACACACATTATACATATGTATATGTATATGTGTGTATGTATACATATATATGTTAGCTTAGCACACTGTGCTTAGCATAGCGCCTGGCAAATAGTAATTACTTAATAAATACTCATTGACTTGATGTGAGTTCTATATAATCTGCAAAATTAGACACCTGTTTGAAAACATTTAATCTTGATTATAATTTTTAATATTTAGAAATCCTCTCCCTAAAGCCCCAACTTGGAAGAAAACGTTTTCTTCCACTAGGGTTCTTAACCTGGAGGTCCATGGACCCCTAAGGGATCCATGAATTTGGATGGGAAAAATGACATATTTATCTCACTAACCTTGGGTTTCCTTTGTAATGCTATGTGTTTTATGCATTTAAAAACATTATCCCATGAAGTTGTCCATAGGCTTCACCAGATTGCCAAAGGGTGCCATGACACAAGAAAGGTCAGGAACCCTTGTACTAGACTAACTTAATAAAAATCTACCTGGCCATTTCCAAGTAGATAATCTGACCCTGCTGGCAATCATACATTTCATAGGTTGCAGACCTGAGGAAATGTCCCACCTCCTCCCATTTCAACTAAATCCATCTGTTCTATCGGTTATTTGTTAGAATTTGTAAATATTGTCTGTGTTGTCAAGACATGCAATTGCAGCAGCCCATGACTGCCCAAGAAGTCACCTGATGTGTATTGTGGAAGTTAGCACAGCTGTAGATCCATTGAAGTGACTGCCATCTTATCTTATTCAGATAAAATATGATGAGCTTTTGGAATAACATGTTTTTTATAAAAGAGCCGGACCAAGGGCCAGATGCAAAAGTTGTATCTCCTTTGCTTTTGACACCTAGTAATTGGTCTAGTTCTGATGTTTTCATCTTATACAGGTTATATGTCATAATCATATGGATCCCCTTTTTAAATGCATTATGATGCCCAGAGGGCAGCTGGGTAGCACAGTAGATAGAACACCAGGCCTGGAGTCAGGAAGATCTGAGTTCAAATCCAGCCTCAGACGCTTACTAGCTATGTGATCCTGGACCAGTCACTTAACCCTGTTTGCCTCAGTTTCCTCATCTGTAAAATGAGCTGGAGAAGGGAATGGTGAACCACTCCAGTATCTTTGCTCCCCAAATGGGGTCATGAAGAGTCAGACACAACTGAAACAACAGAACAATAACAAAATGGGAGTGGGGTAGTTCAGGACATGTCCATACACACACACACACACACACACACACACACACACACACACACACACACACATAACACATTTTTGCATTTGATCAGGACTAGGATCTTAACCTTAATGGCCGCCATTTATGTATTTCTGTTGAGTAAATGAAATGAATGTTCCCACATGAAGTGGAAAGGATTCATAGCCTTCCTGAAAGGCTGTTATTCATGTGACATTATCCATGGCTTTGCTTGTAAAAAGGCTGCTATTTGTCCTAAGCACACAGCTCTGTGAGGTTATGTCTATATGGCAGCTAAGCACTGTCTGGGGAAGAAAATATATCAACACAGGTTTTGGGTTCTTCACATTAGAACCAGTTTAGTCCTATACAGTATCTCAAATTCCTCTAGCCTCTCCAAACTTTGTGGAGAATATCCCCAGCAGAACAACAATCACACAATCACAACAATCACATTGAATAGATATCATGTCTCAGTACCCACTAGGGCACACCTCTTCTCTAGGGATGGAGAATTGAGTTCAGTTGTTGAAAACCAGATATGCAGCTGTAGGCTGAATCTGTAATAGGTCATAAGCATACAGATCCCCCTTTTCAATGCACTGCTTCCTATGTCTGGAGTAGAATGGGACATGCCTTTGCACACTCCTGTATGCATAAGCGTGCACATGTGCATGCATGTACACATACACACTCATGTATACACACAGAGATCATAAGCATGAGCTCCTGACAACATTTCCCAGAGGGTTAGTATCCAGGGCTACGTGATAAAAATAGAAGAAATTATGAAAGATTGCTGTGCCTATACCTCCTTTATAACTGCTTTCTTTCATACTTCCCCATTCTCTCCAAAAAGCTTGTTATTGTTCTTGTTCAGTCATTTTTCAGTCATGTCCAATGCTTCTTGACCCCTCTTTGATGTTGTTGGTGGTGGGTTGTTTTTTTTTTTTTGGCAAAGATACTGGAGTGCTTTGCCATTTCCTTCTCCAGTTTATTTTACAGATGAGTAATCTGAGACAGATAAGGTTAAGTGACTTGCTTAGGGTTACACAGCTATTATTTGAGGCTGGATTTGAACTCAGATCTTCCTGACTCGAGGTCCAGTGCTATATCCACTGTACCATCTAGCTGCTCCCCTCCCAAATAATTTAGTATCCACAAAAATTAATTGGTTTGCCATGTGTACAGTAGCACTGCCCGTCTGCAAAGATTTCTCCTATGGACTCTGTCCTCCATTACTTCTTTGTAGTCATTTCTAGATGGCTCCATCTATGTTCTTTCACTCCTGCATCTCTTGATAACAGTAGGTTTCCAGGAAAGGATGTCCTAAATACTGTGTCCTGAGAGCCTATCTCTCATTTTGGCAAATTCCTCTGAGCATCCAGCTTTGCTAAACTCTGTTTCCCTGAGATACCATAAATATTGCTTCAAGAGAACATTGGTGATATTTGGGTAACATCATGTTTGAGCACTTGTAACAGGAACAGGTAAAGATGGGAATGATGATGGCTCACACTTTACATTTTGTAACATTTACCTACTTTATCCCTTATAAAGTGCAGCTTTCTGAGCTACTTTCCAACTCCCATTTGCTTGGACAAATTGGATCCCTAGAAAGCAGCTACCAAATATCCTCAAGACCCTAGGGGTATCCCTCAGGAGTTTCTCATTGTCTTTCTAATACTATAACTCATAGGTCCCCACCTATGTGCTTCCACTATCGCCAGTTGCTGTCGGTCACTTTTAGAAATGGGTATTTACTACAGTAGAATAATCAGCATAAAATGATGCTATAGAAGTCCTATGATATTCACCCACAGATATATGCAGAATCAAAGGGAAAGAAGGTCCAAGCTTAGAGCACACATGTAAAGAAGTAAACAATAGCTGCTAGTTTCTGAAGTCCTTTTTATCCTCTTAATGGAATTCTCATGAAATTCCCCTTAGGTATGATGCAACTTTTTATGCTGAATTTTTTAGAGTCCTGGGTCTACTTTTCCTCATCTTAATTACTCTGTTCTAAGCTCCTAATTAAGAAACTACTTATATACAATGATAGGATACTCATGGCAAAGTCCAAAACCTTTAAACCTCCTGAGTTAAAAACTTCTCCTCTGGCCAAGGGGGAGGGGAGAGGCTTAGTCTGATGGCAAGGTGCTCCCTCTCCCCGAATGGTTTCTCCTTGGGGGCTTCCCTGGGAGGCTTTCACTCTAAGCTTCTAGATACTCAAATCTCCTGGGTTCTAAACTAGTTCCTTTTTTCACAAGCATCCAAGAATATAAACAAGTCCTCCAACCAATCAGAACAAACTGCCTGTCAACTTCACTCCATCCAGTGTTTTTCAAGAAGCTTTGGAATTTATTCTATAACTTATAATTGATTTGATTCCGTTGAAATGTGTTTTCACCTAGTTAAGGTTATCAGGGAATAGCATTTTATCACTTCAGATACAGTGAGGTAATCTGATTGATTCATCAACTTAAAATACTGCTGGGAGGTAGGCAGTACAACTATTAGCAGTCTCATTTTGCTGGAGAGGAAAAGTACTCAGAGAAATGAAGTGATTTGTCCAGGGTTACATAGTTTTGAAGAGCCAAAGGCTCTTAGGGCTAAAACTTGGATCTCTTAGCTACAAATCAAGTGCTTTTTCCACAACTACTGCCTTATATGATACATTGTGTATCCTTCCCCCCTTCTCCTGCCCACTACTAGGTTTCTACTCATTAAAATGTTAGGTGAGGAGCTGTTGTTTGTCCTTCATTCTCAAAGACGACCATGACATCACGGAGGTGATGCCATGACATGCAAGTGAATTGGATTTAAGTGAGAGAGGGCTGGGCAAAGTCACCAGCCTAGTGATCATGATTACTACCTACCATCATGAGTACAAAATAAGCCTCTCTCTGCTGAATCCAACTCGAAGTTGGACAGCCATTCTAGACATTTCTTAGATCTCTTTGCAATGAACAAGTGTCATTAAGTTAACTGTTAAGAGTGAACAGAGGATCAGTTATTCACCAGACTTGTGTTGTCTCTCTAGTAACAGCAAAGTGAAGAGCTTCTTGTAAAGAAGAGGATGCCAGAATTCAGACTTCTACAGAAGAAAGGAGAAGTTCTGGGAAACATCCTCCTCTTGGAGAGAAGAGGATCATATGCATGATTTTGCAACTGAAGGAGCAGAATAGGACGGAACCCTGACACAGAGAAGCAAAATACTTGGACTTTGCCATCCAGTGTTGCTGTAAATTATTTGAACAGTGAAGGTGAGACAGGAAAAGGGCTGCATTTCTAAAAACTCAAATTTGTTTTCCTTCTGATATTCATCTAAGACTAAATTCTCAAGATAGTACCATAGGCAGAAAGCCTATATGTGTAAGGGTGGGGCACCATTGATTATCTCAATCTACTTAAATCAATTACTTTTGTTAGGTAAGACCACATTGATTAAATCAGTCTATCAGAACTGAGCGTGAGCAGGGCACATAAGCCTCCTTGAAATCATCAAAGCCAGGTGTGTGAGAGACACCTTAGGGAGTTTGTATGAAACGTTCTACCTTGTTCTCTCTCAGAACCAGATAAAGATTCTTAGCCTTTAGAAATGAACAAGGAGAAGTGGGGTCATAAGAAGTGGAACCAGAAAGTACTGGAAGCCCAAAAGCAACCAGCAAAGGAGAAGAGAAGTTGGAAGTAAACTATGACAGAGAATAGGAATATTAAGAAAGACCATCAGACCTCCAGTCACCTTAAATTTTACTTAAGGACTGAGGAAGTCCTGAGACAAGGTTTGCTCTTTCCCCAACTTCCTGTCCTGGTGTCTATCCACAAATATTTTTAGTTTATTCCACAAATGTTTAAGTGAATAAGTTTATAGATATTTTGATTGTAAATTATATTTTACGGGGTTAAGAAAATACCTGATAATAAATGTGCAATATAAAATCCAAAGAGATAAACATTACTTACATACATTTTCATCACAAGATAAATCACAAGAAAACATCATAGAAGATTGTATAGAAATTAATATAATGCAATCAATCAATATATAACATAATCAGTTATCTCATTACATAAACATTTCTAAAAAGGTAAATTTTGCTTCAACCACAAAGAGGACAAGGGCTAAAATATACACATGTACTGACATATACACATATGTAAATATATACATATATACAAACCCATATATAATGTGTGTGCATATACATATGTAAATTAAGGCAGAGAGCCCAACTTTGCTTTAATATCAGAAATTTTCATAACTGGGGGCCCATAGCAATTGTGATTGAACTAATAACTTTTCTGTTTAAAATAAACTCCCTAAAACCACAGAGGAGGGAATTAAATGGTCTCTAGGAGCAATTATATTCCTCCTAAACTTAAACCAAACTAATTATTGTAAAAGGGTATTAAATATACATTCTTGGGGCAAAAAATTGGATCCACTGGAATGAGTATATGTATATGTGACTAGCAACCCATTTGTTTCCCTCTTATGGGAAGTTCATACCCCAGGGAAGCAGTATGAATCTGAAGGACTAGATGGGGTTCAGTTGGAGATGTAGGAGAACTAAATTGATCGTTTATGAGTTACTGTGAATCCTTTATGTGTTTTATGCATTTATATGTACCCAAGCTTGCCCAAGGGACCCTTTTCTCCACTTGTATGGAGACCAAGATGCTGTTTTCAAGCCATACCCAGAGAGAGACCTAAGGTAGGGGCAAATTAAACCAAAGAGATGCGCTTCTTTGGCACTGCCCCTAAGATTCAACCTGGTCCATGGAAGCCCAGAGCTTGGGGTGATGGACCACAGGTTACAGGCATGAGTCAATAATTAGAAGTTGACCGAGGAATAGCAGCTAGTCAGAGATCACAGAGATCACAGTGTTCACATAGTCATGGCCAAGTACTTGAATCTTTCTGTTCAAGAATTCCGGGAACTAAGAACGAGTAAATTTCCCAGCTCTCTGTATATCATAGGTGCTTGACAAATGTTCATCCAATTCAATTTAATTGAATTGGCTAAAGTGTCAATTCAGGAGGAAGTCACCCCAATATTCCACAGGTCTGTTGGTCATTCCATACATATTTCCTAACTGGGAAAAAGAAAAATGAAGAGAGCACTTAGTCATGTCCAGAAAGTAAAGTATGGTAGGAAAGAAGACAGAAATTCTACCAGTTCCCTGTCATCCAAGATCAGTATGTTGGAGTTCCCTCAACATTGCTGCCCAAGTCAGTTTTCACTAGAAAGGAATGGCCTTTTATGAGAGCACCATGACTCACATGTCCACTAAGGGACTCCCAGAACTCATTCCGTCGGCTTCTGCCTGCCAACTGCGCCTGGTTGCTTCCAGGGGCTACTGGGACAAAAAAGAATAGCATACAAGATAATATGTTAGCCTTCTAGAAAAGTCAGCCATAGGTATGGGTTCAGGAGGAGAACGGGTAAGGGAGAGAGTGGTAAGGAAGGTACCTTGGGATTTGTATGATGGGTGAAGCTCCCTTAAAAAAGCATTAGCTAAGGTCAGATTAACAAGTCAGCACTGAAACTGGATCCAAGCAAGGGTCCCTAATTGTGGGGAGAAAACAGAGAAGGGGCTTGAGGGAAAGGCACACCATGCAGTATTGGCTCCAAATCCTTCGCCCCCACCCCCCTCCAAAGGCAGGCCTGGGGCGTATTTGATAAGGTGACGGGAAATTGTAAAATTACAACTGGCAACCTATACAGAGAGGCCCAGCGCAAGGCCCTGGGCCTAAGGCAGGCTGAGAAAGTTGAGGAATTGTGGGGGAAAGAGGATTTGGCAGCCTGACTTCCTGTGGCCGTATCCAAGGCTAATTAGTTTGCAGTGTTCTGAGGGTGCCTGAATGGAAACGCTCCAATACCGAGAGGCACGGGGGTGAGGAAATCAAAAACATGTGTACTAAGAAAGGAGGGGAAGGGATTGGTGGGGTTGGGGGTGGGGGAGGGAGGGTGAGGAGAATAAAAACCCAAACCCTCTCCTTTTAGCTCCGTTTTCTTTTTAAAGAGAGGGATCTCATTGTTTCTTTTCATGACCACTAAATCACTGCTGCTCTCCTGTCTATCACATCTCACATCTGCTTCAGAGCTCATTAAACATCAAAAGGCCGGCCTATCAGTTCTGCTTAGTTAGAAGTCTGAGTTACTAGAGGGCTAACCAAGGACGATTTTGTATGTTTTTAATAATAGCTTAAGGAACTTCTTAGCACCCCATAAATTACTTAAATGCAACAGAGTCTTCCTGTCGTCCAGCCAGGGCCCCAAGAGGAGGCAAAGGCAGCATCAGGTTCAGTGATGATGGCTGAACTACTGTCACCTTCCAGCAGACTCTGGCCTTTCATTCAAAAGCCAAGGCCATTTAAAAGATGGGCTGCCTCCAAAGTCCTCCTTGGAACCTTTAACTCAAGAGATTTGGGTTCCATTCACTTCTAGCTTGTGGTCTAGAAATGGAAACCGCTGGAACTTCACAGCCCCATACCTAGCAGGGAATGGAAGAACTGGGAGATGAGACCAAGAAGATAAATAGGGAGATGCAATGTAGGAGTAAAAAAAAAAATAGAAACAGAAATGAGTAAAAAATAGGACTTACTGAAATGTCCATTTGAAACTCGAAGGAGCATAGAGCCTGGTGCTCTGCTATTTGTCATGGGGGATATGAAAGAAATAGAAGGCATGATCTCTGACCAGGAGTAACTTAAGAGACTTTGAGAGCTGTGGGTGTGTGTCCCTCCAAAAACAAACACTCATTGTAACATGAGGGAATACATCCATATTCCTTCTACCAGTCTGGATCACAAACATTACAACTGAGTGTTATGTATAATCATTTTTTCTTCAGTAGGCTATCTAATGCAGCACAAACTTAATTTTGAGGCTATACAATATAATTCTTAGCAATTATTAGACTCCTAGAGAGAACAGCCGCATGGTGCAGTGGAAAGAATGGTGAACTCTAAGTCATATAGACCTGGATTTGAATCATGCCTCTCAGACTCAATATCTGAGTGACTCTGGACAAGTTAATCAGACCTTCTAAGCCTCAACTTTTTGATCTATAAAAGAGGGATAATTATTCCTATAATGTCTATCTCATGTAAAAGGTTGCCATAATACCTTATTGGGGTGTGGATGTCCTGTCAGTTTCTACTATGTTGTGAAGTCTTTCAGCACAGTTCTGACAACAGACTGTGCTTTGGAAAGACCAGCCCAGATAAGTATGGAGAGGCTCATAACAGCAAACCTATGGCTAATGAATTCTTCGGCCATGCCAAGCCAGGAACAAAGAAAAAGATAAAATGGTCTTTGGTCCTGTGAAACCCTTCACTGTTATTTCAAAGATAATTGCAGAGAGTCAGAAGCAGGATCAGGGGTACTAAGAACCACAGGTTTAAGTACATTAACAGGACTTTAACTCTCGGTGCTCGTCCTTGTCCTAGGACCAAGGGGGAGATAGGTTGCTAGAGAAATGGAAACATTTCAATCTTGCCACAAATGCAACCAGAATGCAAAAGGAATTTGCAGGTAAATGTAAAGGGTGATTTCAAGGTTCTCTAAGGAGAAGCAAATAATGGAGTTGGGTGATTTGGTTTTTATCACGCTTCCAAAGGCAACAAAAGAAACATCATTTCATAGGACATTTGGTCTTATCCTCTTGCGGTGCTTAGGATAAGCATTTGCAAAAGGACCACCATGAAGATAATTGCTGTTTGTGGGCCAACATCTGCTGCAAAGAATGAGAGGTAGAAAAATTCTATGGAGAACTTGACAAGAAACTCCATATTAAATCGAAATATACTCTAATTCTTGGTGACTTTAATGGAAAGATGGATATAGGAAAAGATGGCAAAAATACATTGGAAAACATGTTTTAAGATTAGGGATGAGAGAGATGGAGATTTATAGTGAATAAAGAAGACACACATATCATGAGTCCTTAGAAGATGGGAGGGTTTAGTATATGAGGAAATGTAAGGAGGCCAGTCTGGCTGAAACACAGGGTATCTGAATGTAAAATAATGCTGGAAAGGTAGACTGGAACCATATTATTAAGGGCTTTCAATGCCAAACAGAGGAAATTGTATTTAATCATAAAGATAATAGGGAGACACTGGAGTTTGAGTATGGCAGTAACATGGTCAGAGGTATGCTTTAGGAAAATCATATTGTTCTTTCTACTGCTTATGGAGCCCATAAGGCAAAATAATGTCAGCTCTTATGATCATCTGTTTTCACAGAGGGAGAGATAAAAACCATTTGGAAGTTATGGGCTTTTCCCCCAAGAGAAGCAAGCCAAATGGCCAGGAAGAGATTCATTCACTAATATTTTTAAGCACCTATTATATGGAAGGCACTTTAAGAGTAATTTAAAGAGACATAAGGCAGAGCCGTTGATCTCAAGTTTATAGTCTAATGTGAAATATATATATATATATATATATATATATATATATATATATATATATACACACACACACACATATACATACATTTATATGTGTATATATACACACATGTATACATATAAGTATATATGAATAGAGATAAAGAGATAGTTGTTCAATCTTTTTTCAGTCATGACCCCATTTGGAGTTTCTTGGCAAAGATATTGGAATGATTTGCCATTCCTTTCTCCAGCTCATTTTACAGATGAGGAAACTGAGGAAAACTGGGTTAATTAACTTGCCTAGGATCATATAGCTACTAAGTGTCTGAGTGTGGGATTTGAACTCAGGTATTCCTGATTCCAGGCCCAAGGCTCTGTCACTGCACCACCCAGCCACCCCAAAGAATAGAAATAAATGCAAAAATACTGTAATGTGGGGGCAGCAAGGTGGTGCAGTAGATAGAGCACTGGCCCTGGAGTCAGGAGGACCTGACTTCAAATCCAG